ATTCAATACTGGTGCCACGTATCATTCTTGAGTCTTAACTGTGACACAGCATCTCAAAGAACCGTTGGAGATGTAGGCTTCTCTGTGGCGTGCATTCATACAACTGCTGCTGTTAATCAGCTCCTGTCTGAAGGACTATGCAGATTAAGTGCCCTGCAAATAGGGTGCAAGGGGAAAAAAAGAGAGTTTAGAAAGGTAAAATGATCTGCCACGGGTCTCACAAGAGGTGAGGATGAGAAGAACAAAAAGAAGTGAAGCATCCTGCTTACTGACCTTGCTCCTCAGCCTAGCTCTGCACCACCTCTCCCATTGTCAAAGTCAGGGCACACAGCATATACACATAAGAAAACTACATATCCTGAATCATCAGCTCTGAGTCAAATCAAGGTCCCTTTATTGCACAAACTCAGAATTTTCAACAGCACCATCTTAATATCTCTCTTCTCCCCATGTGCATCCCTGCAGCCCACTGGAACTACAAAAGGAGACTGCTACCTTATCAAATATATAAAACTGGTGGTTCCTTTGGTAGCTCTGAGCACTTACAGTAAAATACCAGCAAAAGTTTCTTCCCACCAGTCAGGGAAACTCCTCTGCTCTGGGGAGTGACTCAGCTGGGACATAGTCCAGAAGGCAACAAGAGATGAGGGGCCCCAGTGGCACTTCTCCAGTCTTAATCAGCATTGTCTGCATGGTGATAGAGACTGATAAGCTGTCAGAAGTCATTTCTTTCTATAAGACTTGAAACAGTGGTCCAGAACAGTTGTGATCTTCATGTGTGTGGATTTTGCTGGGGGTTTTTTAATGCAAAACCAAGGGCTTTAATTTCCCATGGTGGCCAACAAACCATTTTCATAGTTTCATCCTAATCTCCTGTAAATATCCATTTCTCCTCCCCCAACCTTAACCAATTTCCACTCCACAAAGTATTGTTTTTTTCTTCAACAAATCAGACATGCCTATCAACAATAGCACATTTATCAACGGGGAGGGCCGTGACAGACAGAAACCATCCCTACTGCTCAGTGTATAACACATTTGGGAATCCTTTCTAATAAAAAGGGATTTGATTAAAGACAGCCAACTACCACAGATCAGCAACTGAATCAGCAGTAAAGAAGGAAGAGTGGCTTAGACATAAAAGACTTCAATTTGCTCATCTGCCAGGACTTCCCAGGAGAAGTCACTCCATAAGTCATTCCACAGGAGAGTAAGAGGGGATATACACCACGGATTGGGGTGCTTAGACTCAGTATGGTAGTGTGGCCTTTCAACAAAACTAAGTTTGGCAGAATACCTGGTATGCATGTTTAACACCTAAAAATTTACAGTGTTTTTTTAATTATTATGCTCAGTGATGATATTTCCATGCTTAAGCACTGCCTTGCCAATGGCAGCTAGAGGATTTACCAGTGACTGGACAGTGCTGCTGTGGTAAGTCTAGGCAACAAACAACTGCAAACTGCGATCTTGTTGTTCCAAAGTGTGTCTCCAGCATGCTGCTTCTGGCTCTGACCACGCACCTGGACTCCCTGGGAACGCAGAGTGAACCATGCTGTCCCGCCAGCTGTGTGTGTCTGCAGCAGTGATCACTGGCTAGAACAGTTCCCCCAACTCTTGAAACCACCTCCAGTCATTTCCACCAAGGGAAGCTGCAGAGAGGGGCAGTGAGCACAGACCTGATGGAAGTGCTGGCTGTCCTGCTTCGGAACTCAGCTCACCTGGTCTGCCAGCAGTACCAGCCGGCATTTCCAGGGCAAAGAGACAACTTTAGTGGCTCCTACTTCTCTTCCCTCACCAGGAACCTCCACTCCGCCCACGCTGACTCCTGAATCACGATGGCTTGATCAAAAACCAGAGATATAGCAAGTGAAATTCCAGAAGGAAGATGGCTACAGAAAAGATCCCAGAGTGCTGACGGGCCAAGTAAAATGACCTTTCTCCAGCCTGACAGTTCAAATGTAATTATTCCAACAAATTATTTTCATGACTTAATATAACGCCTTGCAGCTTTCTAGCAAGGTTAATTAGATTCCTCAATTCAAAACCTATCTGCTCTTAACCAACTTTTAATATGCTGAAATCCAGTTTTCTAAATTCAAACTAATAAAAGTGATTAGCTGACAGCTATCTGGTATGCCACAATTACCATGGCATTTAGACCTCAGGCAGAAGATATTTAATGCAAATCAGAGTCAATGTCTCTGCCCATTTGTCCTTTTTCTGATTATTTGATCAATGTGCCATATGAATCTTGTACAATCCATGCTACCATGCTAAATAAATAAAGAACAAAGGCAGAGATATTGGTTGAGACAGTAACCAAAGTTGAAAGACTCTTTTTTTCCTCCCACACTTAATTTGTTCTTTCCACATGAGCATGAAGTTACTGAAAGGCACTGGCTGACAGCTCAAGTAGATGGGTATTTAGCTCTGACATAGCCAGAATTCGTATAAAACTCCCGGCCTGCACTGCCATATCAAAAAGCCTCATCCACTGTGACTCCAGAGCCCATGTCCCTCTGGGAGTAGCTCAGGCTGGAACAAACCTAGGAAGATAAGGGCAGCCCACATCTTTGATTTTATCCAATCATAAAAAAATGTAGTGCTCCAGAACTGCTGGTTTTGTTTTATGTTTTTCTTGGGAGGCATATAATTAGTTGTGGCTGTGTCTCCCAAATGGCTGCATGGGTTACAGCACGCTTAGAGAGCTGAGGAGGAGTTCAGCCCTACATACGGTTCTTCTGCACATCAAAAAGGCTGACACTACTTCAGAGATGACCTTCAGTGGCACAGACTCAGTGCAATTAGAAGATCAATCAGGTACAGCTTTTAATTAAAGATCACCTGCCCAAGGTAGGACTGGTGTTGGTGTTTGGTTTTCATCTACCAGCTTGCATCATGCATGATTATTCCATCTTTGATCATGCTACCGCTTATATAAACAATGTTGGCAACATTTCTGAATGCTCTGGAGCCTCCTCTCCATTTTCTTGTCTCCTGCTGAATTAAGAGCTATTGGCATGGCATTGGTTTGACCTCCCATCTGATAGCCAAATTGATGACTTAATATCGAATGTTGAGAGACTTTATGTTCCAGCACTTTGAGCTATGCATCCCTTTTGGATGAAAAAAACTTTGATGTACTACACTCTCAAACAGAGCAGAGCCATCTTAGTGATACAGTATTAGTCTGCAAAACCTGAGCATTTCAGCTTCATAAACACAAGTGCTAAACTAAACTAAAGCTCCACTTCAGGAAGCAATTTCTGAACTGTGAGGAAAATTAATCACTAGAACAGCTTATCAGGGTAGGTGGTTGACTCACTATTGCTTGAAGTCTTTAAGATAAGATTAGATTATTTTTTTTTTTAAGTCATGATTCAATCATGTCTCTGGGAGAAACTGAGAGTAGGACATTAGGCAGTATAACGGCAAGGTCCTTTCTGACCTTGGATCCTGTGAATCTCCAAGTTTTTTGTTCACCTGCCTAATTTCTTGGGCTATGAGAACTGGGTGGGCTTTGGTCCATCAACCAGCTCTTGCCACTCATGGATCTGCATTAAGAAAATGACTGTAATCAAATCTCATGCTTCAGGGCTTCAGCCATTTGCCTGAAGGGAGCGGGAAAAAGGCTTCTCCCTCCTGCCCGCCCACGCTAATGGCTAAATACATGTTATGTTTGTTTGGTTGTTGCTTTGCTTTTAAAACATCAGAGAGTGAACACAAATGGATAAGGGCAGAGATTAAGTCAAATGTAGCAGCACAGATATCCTCTCTTCAGTTAGTCATTCTTGCTCACACCTCCGATCTGTGCCAGTCATCACGTCTGATGACTATCAATGTTTATAGAGAAGACATTTCGGCTGTAGGGGTGGAGACCATAGAAAGCAGTAGGTACTGATGGAGAATGGGGACTGATATCAACCTCATCTACAAGGGCAATGTTTGTTTGCTGAGAACATCTTGACCTTCTCGTGTAATCAGATCCTTGTCACTGCAAGATCCCTGTTTATTAGTGAAACCTTGGTCCCACCTGCTTTCTGATTAAACCAAACCACAAAAGTTTCTTTAAGACAGGAATGTTTTGGTCCAACCAAAATCTATAGCAAATAGACCTAGGGGGCAATCTAAGTGAAGCTTTCAAGAAATGATGAAATAAAGGAAGATAAAGAACACAAAATGAATGGCCTACCCCAGTCTTTAACTCTACAGACTACAGCAGCTTGTTTCCTAACAACACTATCACCCAAGCCTGTAAGAAACTAAGCATACAGACGAGATGCATCAACTGTGCCCAAGGCTCTCGACTCGAATGCAGAGTTCAGAGGCCTTATCACCTGTCTTTTATACAAAGGCAAGATATATACTTTACACTTGTAGATGCCTGAGATAGATAATTCCATCCTATACCACTTAAAAAGGAAATTAGCTGCTTATCTTTTTCCAGGCAAGGAAGATGACATGGTTATGAGCCAATCAGTTCAGATTTTTCTTCCTCAAACGTGTTGGACCCAGTTCTGGGCTAACAGATCCCCATGCAAAATCAACCTGATTGACTCAAAATGGATTTCCTTTTAATCTATGCCAGCATACAGAAAATGAAAATCCATGCCTTGGGAGCAGAACACATTTACGTTGCCAGGTTTTACGCAGCTGCAATGAGAAGGAATGGGGCAGGTGGACAAGACAGCGCACCACACCTAAATTCAGCCTGGTAGCCTAGAAGCTGGGGACAGATGGTGTGAAAATGAACCAGACACTGAAAAATTTAACTTTATAACTGGAAAGACTATAAACATACAGCAAGCAAGCATGAGATTTATGCTGAAATTACAGAGGAATTCCTATGGATGATTACACTTACAGCCCAAGCATGGAAAGCAAATCCATCAATACGAATGTCACTACATTAACAGCGCAGCTGCCAGGTCACCCCGTTACCAAATCTAGTAAATACAGAAAGGGGCTACAGACACTTGTGACATAGCACTGCTCACCAAAGTAGTCATCAGAAGGAGGATTCTCCATGTCATATAGCATTTTCTTGGTCAGATGTTCCAACTCATCCTCAGGTCTGAAGGCAGGAGTGCTTGATGCAGGTCCAGAGCTTGGATACCCACTCTGAAAAAAAAAGGACAAACAGTCTGTGATGTGGTATAAAAGCATTCACCCACAATAAGATGGTCTATTGGCTGTTCAGTGTTGAACTTCATTCTTTGTCTTTATTTTTGCTTTTTTTTAAAACCCAAGGGATTCATGCAAGTAAACATCTCATTTAATGTAATGAAAATGGAGTCCTAAAAACATCCAGTGAAGTGCTATATATCCTCCTAGAATGAGAAGTATTCTGTGCCTCATAATTAGGTGTCTACTGGATAGCACATAATAATAAATAAAGGAGAAAATTATTCCAAGGATAACTTGATACAAACATTTTCCAACACTGAAAAAGACTTTGGAAGCATTTCAGTTGGGATTTGGCAACAGCTTCCATCACTTAACAATGCAATAGAAAAAATGCTAGAACAATCATTCCTACAGTGGTGGAGTATATGGACAAAGACAGATAATCCCGAGCTGCTAGTTATGTTCTCTTCTTGTTTGTTTTGACACAAATCCTGCTGTTAACATCAGTGAGAGCAGGAGCTGGTCCACAGATCTTTAGTACTAGGGATACAAAGGTTTTAACATGTGCTTAGAAACTGAGACCTCTTGGCCTTCATACGCTAACAGCTGGCATAGAGTTTGTGCAGCCTGTCTCAGCGAGTCTTCTCCCTGGAAAACAGCAGAAGTACAGGCATATTTTGAGAAGCAGAGGAATAGCCTCGTGCCTAGAAGTTTCTTAGAAGAAGCTAAGTTTGGTGTCCATAATGAGAAACTCCGTCATTTCAGGATTAAAAAATGCTGACACCAGCTTTCCTTGCATGCACTGCTTTCCTGAAAGACTTGCATGAGAAAACTAGCTTATTTATGAAAGGCAGCATTTCAGTAAAGCAAGTGATTTCATTGATTAATTGCTGCCTTTTTCATGGATGGGACCTTAGATATGAAACTTATGAGCCTTAGTCTACAAGGAAGCATTTTTCCATGCTCCATACCTACTTAAATGGGAAGAAAATGTAAAATCACTGGAGAAACAATACACTGGCCACCTCTATCTGGCTTAGAGAGACTACATCTGACATGATGAATCTTTATTGAGCCAGTCATGTTCAACAGAGAACAGCAGCTTTAAAGCACTGCAAGAGAATTAACTAAATGCTTTCACGCTTTTTTCTTTCAGGCAGGAAGGAGATTTCAAATGAGACATCAATCAATGTAGAGAAAGTCTCAGAACGGCGCTTAGCAATAATACTTCAATCATCCACTCCCAGAAACCAAACACTTTCATGTTCCTGACCTTGTCATATTTATTTTTCTAGGGCCCATGCTAAGCTGGTACACCATCACCACCCTCACTTGTTGACCTGATCTATCTCGCAGGCGCTACACCCACGAGCACAGCAGACGATTGCACTGAAGTGCTGGATTTGCCGTGCACACACAACACGGCAGTTGCACTCGCTGCCTGACCACCAACCGCCCTCTAAGAGAGTATCAGCAGTGCACAAAGGAGGTGGGTGCCATGGTCCCTGGAAGGAAGGGCACCTGGAATTATCCCCAGGCTGGATGAATTTCCCTGGAGGGCTATGCAAGGTCTATTTGCAGTACGTTCAACCTCCCTAAATGAAAATATAGGTTGGATATACCATACATTCAGGTTTTCCCAGAGATGTTTTCTTTTTCTGCTCAGGGATTTTTTTTTTCCTGAGCAATATTCCAAGATTTTGTGCATTTGTCCAGGATTTCTAGATGCTTAGCAGTTGTACTGAGGAAGCTGTTGAACATCTGGAAATCCTGTCCACACACAGCTCAGTAAACTCTATTGTACAAATGAAACCACGCTGATGTGTTTGGGTTACCACAATTTATCTTTTCATATGGGGAGAGAGGCCTGTATGGTGCACAGGACTTGCATTCGCTTTCCAAGTCATGTAAGTGCCCTCTCTATGGGATATATCATTTTGGTGAGGATAAGGCCACTCATATGACTAGGAGTTTCAGAGCCAGGTACTTGACCCAGCACACTCAGACGCCCTTGGCCAGTGCTTTGTGGCTGGTTTTAGAAGGCTAGTCGACAACTATTTCATTAGAAATAATAAATAGCATAACCCTAAAAAAAAAAGGTTTATTAATAAGCCAATTAAAGGTGCCAAATGTAAAGCATTTAATCTTGGAACAACCTATTTTTTTCTGTTGCTCTCTTGTTCCTAAGAGCTGACCACGACTCTCGCCTGAACATATATTTTAACACAGCAAGTGCAGCCAAGGATTTATTAGCTTGGGAAATCAATCTGGCAACTGAACCTCTTAAAATAGTACTCCACCTATTGTACCTATTTCAGTTTCCATGCAGAAAGGAATGACCATTGCCACCCCTTCAACTGAGACTCCTTCCCTGGAGAAGACAGTATGTCATGAAGCTGTTGATTGCCCCCATCCTTGTCTCTCTCCTGTTAGCAATCACCACTATGGCACGAAAGTGTGGAAGTGCCATGCTCCAGCCTCCTCTGATGGGCTCTGACCACCCAAAATTTGAAACATTGCTTTTAACTTTGAGCCTTATAATATAAATGGACCAAAACAGAAGGCACAAGCTGCTGCCTGCTCAGAGAAAAGGGAAGTGAGATGCATGGAGCTGAAGCGATTTGCCCATCATCACACGTGGGCTCTGAGATGAAGACAAAACCTTCAACCCAGCTGCTGCGAGCCCCACGTCTTCAGCCTCACACGCAGCCTGCCGGGGCCGGGCTCAGCGCTGCAGACCTACACTGGTCACTCTCCAACCCAAAGCCACTGCATCTGCAGGCTGTGGCAGGACACCCTGGGCAGGCGGGGTGTGAAGCCTCTCCCTCTCTTCCATACCAGCTTCCCCCACCTTCCCATCGGGGGGGCCACTTGTGCCCGCTTCAGTAAGGGCTTGGGCTGTGCCATTTAAAATGAAAGACCAAAATCTGCATATTTTCAGTTCGGTTTGACTTTCTCTGGTTTTGGAGGCCACTCTGCCTCCTACATACAATAAACAGGCTGCTCTCATATTTTATCTACATTGCACTTTTCCAAACCAGGCAGATTTCTTATCCAGTACCCAATGTCAGCAAAAATAAAAAATACCAACCACAATGTTATGAGACACTTTAACTTATTTTGACTAAAATGCTATGCCTTTTTGACCAACATTTAAGCAGTGCTAGGCACATCTTTTTCCTCCTCGCATGGCACATGCTGACTACGTGCCTCCAGGAAAATGCATTTCATGCATATGAACTTGCTGTCGAGTTTGCTGGGACACGCACGCACACAAACATAGACAGAAAAGTGTATCCTTAGTCCAATCTAAAATGCTTGTTTCAGCAAAACAGTTTCCTTCCTCCTCCTTTGTTAGGTCAGGGTAAAAATATAACTCTGGCTTTCCTTACAAAACAGAGTTGTGTTGTTGTTGTTTATTAAACTTCCTCTGTTTTCTCCTGATCTGTACAATGATCAAGGTTGCCTAGAAATCCAATTTGCTGTCTAATCTACCACGGTTATCTTTGTGCATTCTCTTTTCTCCGCGATGCCTCAATGCACACAAATACATACTACCTTAGCTAGGAAGTATATACACAGCTCAAAGGTGGGGTCTGTGCCGAACTGCGACATTGCCTCCCAAATTCCCTGAGCATCACTCTGTCTAGCTAACCACAGCAACATCAGGGATGATAAACTGACCTATGAAAATGGAAAAGAGCCTTGGTCGGCAAAAAGCCAGCAGGAAGGACCATGCTTTGGGAGCAGGAACACCTGAGTCCAACCTTTGCTACTGCCATCAAATACAAAGCAACCTCATGGAAGAGCACGCTGATTGCAGCTGCATGTACAGATGCAAATACATTGATGAACAAACACTGTCCTGCATGCTTAGCTAATGGAACATTTAGAAAAATACCAGCATTCCCAGGGTTAAACCCCATGGCAGAAAGTATCTTCATGCTACAAACAAAAGGAAGTGAGTTAATCGCTTGTGCCACTCTCAAAGCACTGCAACAACATCTGGCTCATCTTCCTCATTAAAGTTCAGTTCCTAAAAAGCCAGGTCAAAAGAAGCAGTCGCGTGGAATCACTACATCGTTATTTTGGTACACAAAGTTGGTACTTCTTTCAGTGCTTCTGTGGCGCATGTTTCCTACTCCAGACCTCATCCGCTGGCTCTGATGTAATGGCTGCCCAGAAAAGGGAGCTCTGCAGTTAGCGCAGTGCATTCGCCAACATGAACCTTCCCTATCCACATATAAATTTTTACTCAAATGGGCAAAAACCACAGCGCAAAATCTGCAAAGACATCTGAAGATGATGCTGTGATGAATGCACCATCATTCAGAGTGCACTGTATGTGGTCATTTTTCTTGTCCATTTGCAAACGTTGTAGAAGAAGCTTCTTCTCTCTGAGAGAAAATAACTTCAATTATGTGTTCCCAATTACAGAAACGTGGAAATTATCTTCTTTTCAGAAGGTAGAATTAGCCCAATTTGGAATTGAAAGGCAGCCAGAAACATCTTTCACTGATACTTACTTTCCCTTTCATTTTTTTTCTTCTTGTTCATCTGCATAAAGTTAGCACTTTCCTTTCACTTCACTCACCAAAACTGATCATCAGTGAAATAAACAGTTAAATAGCATTGCAGCACATTTTTTATTCAATGGCCTGACAAAGACCATACTTTTTCATTTAAGTTATTGACTGTCCAAAACAATCGCAAACTTTCAGACCAAAAAATCCAGCATGGTGCCACATCTCTCATGAGTTGTGCTCCCAAAGAAAGATTGCCTGCAGCTGTAATTCAGTTTATAATTAAGGCCAACTGATCTCTCTTACAGAGGAGATGCACTGGAAAAAAATATTTTAATTCTTGATTTATTTTCCCAGTGAAAAGTTACGGCTGACAGAGTACATACAGATTCCTGAAAAGACAATTCTGCCTAGATTCCCTACAACATGCACATTCCTGGGGCTCCTCCTGGTCAGAGAATAACTCATCGAGACCCTTTGAAGAAACTACCCTGCATAAGGAGGTACCCACTGACAGCCAATGACCTCCCACCCATACCAGCAGCCCAAAATCACAAGTCTCTGGGCAGGCAGGAGCGAGGTCTCCTCTGGGATGTGCTGGAGTGGGACAAGCCACCAGTTCCCTCGCTGCCTACCTGCCCCGCCACCGCTTCCCGCAACAAACCAGCAATCCAGAACGGGCAGTTCTGGCAACAGAGTCCTCATTTGTTAAACACTGGCTTGCTTTGAAATAGGGCAGTTTTGTAACTACTTCAAAGCTCTAGAGGATATTTTTCTTTATTTTTAAACTTCATTATTGTAACTGTATCCTCACTTAGCTATCCATGCACATTCCCAGTTCTACTCTAATCCTGCTAAGCTCTCAGTTTCAACGATCTCTTGTGACAGTAAATTACACAGAATTTGAGCAATAATAATAAAAATATTTTTTTCTCCATTTTAACTTTACAGCCCGCAATTTTGCCTAAATATCTCTTTTCCTTACACTGTGAAACTGGGATGCAGACAGGTGGAAGAGGAGGTGTCTGGTCTGGTAGTTTTAAAAGGAAGACAATAGAGCCAGAATGCAAAATCATTAAATAGCTGAGAAGGTCCCAGGACTTCTGAAAATCAGGCTGCTCATACAGATGCCTGTTTTGATTCTCTGGAGCCCAGGTTTTAGCTTACAGTCATGAAAACAAAATCTTGGTCTCTCTGTATTGATACTGAATTCAACAGGATCACCGTACGTGCACCCTAATTACTCTGTAAAATGGGTTTAACAATATTTCTCTCTTAATTAATCAGTGCCTGCAAAGCTCTCAAAGCTTCTGCAATGTAAGTGACTACACAGAGACAAGAGTGTTTTATTAATCATCAACCACAGTAATAAATGAGCATGAATGTTTTGTCCTTTGGATTATCTGTATTCTATTATATTGCAAACAGACTTAAGTAGCTTTTCTTGCTATTCTTCACATTCTCACTAATGTTTTGAAGCTGGAAGGGCTAGTTATTTTTGCTAGGTGTTACCAAAGTTGGATAAACTGTAAACACGGCTATCTGCTGCTTGATTCGGCATTGAGTATGACTGTGTTAAACGATAATCCCCACTTCTATTATGGAGAGTTGTCATTTCTGCTAGACACTGTGGCTTGTTTATATATTCGGGGTTAACAGGAGATGAGCTAGATTTTTATGGAGCAACATTGGCCATTTCTCATTAGAAAAAGCAAACCAAACAGATCTCCAAGTAATAAATATCTGACATGTTATCTCAGGAAACAGTAAATTTAAAATATTTCAAATAAGAACACCTATAAACCACTACATTTTAATGCCCCATTGCTGCTTAAATGTACATACAGAAACAAGTGCAGCCTGATCTTGCCTGGGGCCTCTTAGCCCTATCATTACATGAATACACTTTACTTGTCAAGGCTTATCTCGTATGAAAAGGGGAGGGGGCTGTTTTGTTTTGTGTTTTCCTACTAACCCCACTAACTTTGGGAACAGACATTTTAGGCACTTTTTTAAAAAGACAGGAACTCAAGGCACACGCTGGATGGTACAACTGAGAAGGAGAATGAAGCTTTATACCAATACACAGATAAAGAGATTGTATGATTTTAGCCCTATGCTTTTGGCTGGACGAGCTTAGTCTGCTTCACAAAATTATATCAGGAGGTCCTAAGCTTACTCGTCTGTTTGTTTCAAGATTGAAGGCTTTATTCTGCTCTAAGCTGCTTTCCTTTCCACATCTCTCTGGGCTCAGAGTCAAGTACTCTCTTACTTCCATGCATCATCACCAGCAGTAAAGTCCCAACAGGCCACTTATCAACTCCCCTCCTCTTTGTGTCGTAATACTGTAGGCTTAAATATAATTAAGCATTATATTTACTCCTATCAGCAGGTCAAAATCTGCATTTCAGAGTAGGAGCCATAAGTATCCACAGGAGATGACAAGTCTCCAAGCCTTAGTCCCAAGCTACGTAGGGAAGCGCTGTAGATGGGTTTGAATTGGCTTCTTGTCATCTTGGCTATACATCTTGGGGTACATAGTGCCATCTAGGGCTTGTTGCCTGGGGAGATGATGAGCCTTAAGACCTGTACAGAGCTCCCTTGTGTAACTCCCAGGGAGCACCACTGAAAGACATAGAGCTGTGGTGGACTGCGGTCACAGCAAGTGGCACTCCAAAGCGGGGCTCATGGCCTCCCCACCAACCAAACTGCATCCGCATCTTATAGCACAAGCACAGGGGCACATGTCGTAAAAATGGGAATGCTGCAAAATTCATACTGATTAAAAGAGATGTGTTGCCACAACTAACCCGGGCAATTCATTGCCACAATAAAACCACCGAAAAAACGTATTCTCCTTCCAAAACCCACCCTTCCAGAAGTAGCCCTAGAACACAAAGAACAACTGAGCTTTGTTTTTCTTCAAGTTTTTCTTTTGCAAAAGACTTCACAGAGGCAGAACTCAACCGTTTTCACAGACAAAAAATGACACTGCACCGCAGGCTTACACACACCTCTGGTGCAGTGCCTTCTCCGGCAGACCACAGCAACGAGGGAGCTCACCACCATTCACCATGCGGCGCTGGGGGTTGGACTGGGTGTTTCCACAATGAGCACCACCTGCCCTGTGGTTCAGGTTCATCGCCTATTGAAAAAATAGGCTGTCCCAGCTGCAGTGCCTTATCAGGTAACAAAACCAGAAGTGCTGGGGCATCGCTTGTTTCAAAAGAAAAATAAATCTCACAATTTTAATGGTACTAATTTTGCATGTGAAACTTGCATTCATACTGTATTAACAGTTTAAATATAGCTTTCTTGCCAGATGCCTGAATATGCTAGAAAAGATACTTAAAATATGCAAATTAGGTTTCTGTTTTAATACACAAAGAAACTTAAAATCACATCACTTTCCATCATCAAGACAGGTTTCAATCTAAGCTTTTTTCATGTGAAAACTGTAACAGCAAACAAATGGTTAACCAAATGTGTTTAACCCACTGTCTGTAGTCTCACTTTTAGTCAACTGTGACATGGGCCATTACACTTCCCAGGACACCAGTGACTTAAATGAAGACTACATATTTTGCTTAACATTAAAAGATTATATATATAAATTGCAGTAAAAAAAAGCTTCTCAAACTGGAGCGGGTGCTTGGTTTGGCATCCACAGCATTGGAGGGCAGGATTCCTCCTGAGTTTTATCCTCAGCAATATTAACCAGTCTGATCCTGCACCCTGCTGTTATAAATGGTGTTCATAATGCTTGGCTGTCTCAAGAGAGTTTGAGAGTCTCAATGAACTCTTGATTACAAAATGCTTTGAGATCCTTGAATGAAAGATGCTGAATGAGTACAAATTATGACTATTATTAAATATCTTTGGTAGCCAAAGTTGTGCCTCCTTCCACTCACATGTGCCTACGTTTTGTCTTTTAAGATTATAACATCTTCAAAACAAACATTCGTCTCCCAACTTGCCCCTCAGCAGTCTTGTTGTATAAATAAAAGTGATAAGAATAATATTAG